AGGAGAATGGATGAAAAACAAAGATGAATGTATCCAAGATTTCATGGATAAGAATCCGGGAGAAACAGGAGTCAATGATGTGTACCTGTATGATGTGTACCTGTATAAGAGAATCAAATTACCGGACCATGAATGTGGACAACTTATAATAGCATTATTAGGGCCATGGCAACCCAGTATCAGGAATTCAAATGGAAAGTAAAATACGTTTTCGCTCACAAAACAGAGGGACCAGCAAGGACCTGGATTCAAGGGAAATGGATGGAAGAAGTCCGAGATTGTATCAAAGATTATGTAAACAAAGTGCTCAAAGAAGGATACAACATCATGGACTGTGCTTGTGAAACAGAATATTTGTACATGAGAACTTTTCCTATTCAAAAAGAACTATGCCAAAGTATTCCATGTTTGTTACTTTAATGTTGTTGTGAATTAAAAATAAAAAAAAACCTAGAAAAAAAATGTCTTATTTTCTCTCTCTCTCTTAAACTGTGTATAACATTTTGTTACAATGACGTCACAATGCATAGCTAGCTGTGACTTGAATCTCTGCCAAGATTGGATTGTGTATTACTGTGTATTGACTGACTCAGCAAAACGTAAATAGAACGTACACAGTAGTATCTCAGAAAAAATAGGTAGGTCAAACATATTTTTGCACACCACCCTATAAATAAGGTATATAAAGCTAAGCTTTGAGTAAACTGCGCTCAATCATGTTTTTTGTGTGGAGAATGTCGTATTTGGTTGACGTAGAAAAGTATTACTGTCATTACTGTGATAGGGAGATGATCCATGTGCGTACATTTACGGTGTATGATTATCCCGGATGGCATCACAGAACTTATCAAATTTGCGAGCATTGTGAAATGCCTTTTCCTCACTGGTTTGTGGATGATCCCCTTTCCATGGAGACTTGTGGATGTAGCTGGTGCGTGAAATATTTCACATGGAAGTACGGGGCAGAGAATATGGTGCCCCTATGGGTCAAAGTAACGAGAAAGAGAGCCTTAAAGAAATGCCTGACCTGCTGGCAGGAAAATACGGAGGGGAGATGGAAGTGTCAACAATGTCGACAGTATCCTTGCTGTGGGGAGTGTGTCGAGAACTTTGTCAAGACTTGCTACAGACTTTGTCCATTATGTAGATATGAAGGAAATAAATCATAAAATCAAAAAAAATGTTGTTGGTTTTTTTTCCTGAGATTCTAAAAATAGATTTGATTAGGTTACATAAAGAGGTATGACCAAAAAAAAATTATTCATTCTGAAAAAGTCAAGTCTAAAAGTCAGACGCAAAAAATATGCAGTATCGATGGTATTGTGAGAGTTTATTTGGATGTATTTACATGCAGGGACCCTGGATGAAAACTAAAATAGGAGCAATCCTAGATTATTTTGAAAATCATCCAGGAACATCTACTCAAGATGTGTGGTTGGAAAAAAGACAGAAATTCTTGCATCCTAAAGGATCTAAGGTGAGGGTAAAAATATACCATCATTATCAGCAGTACAAATGGTTGATCCTAGGTCGTTGTCAATTCCAGACTCGTGTGGTTCTGGCTGAAGGTGAATGGTGCTGGAATATAGAACACTGTCTTCGTGATTTGTTCTTGGACCAGCAAAAAGATGGACTGAGGATTCCTAGCTATTACTGTCCTACAGAGTACGTGTATTGTCGTATTCCTTTTTTCCAGAGTAAAGATAGTTTGGAAAACGAAGAGGGCCAGTGTTTTGAGACAGTGATTCCTTACAGATCCGAAGAGGAAGAAGTGTAATAATATGCCAAATAAAAAAAAAAATGTTGTTATAAATAGAAGGGTCATAAGTTATTTTGTCTCAGTATCTCACTGAACATGGCCGAGAGCAGTAGTTTTTACATGACTTTACCCAGTGATGGGTCTATGCAATCTTTTCCGAGTAATACGACTGCTCAATTTAAAACCTTATTACCACAAACAGTAGATAAAACAGATGGACAATGGGAAGTGGCTTAGAATTGATGTATCCCATTTCATTGAAAAACATCACAGAAGAGGAAGCTTATTTTGACATCCTGCTTCCTCAGTTTTATGCTCCAAAAGTCCAAGAACCTAATGTTTTTAAATGGGACAGATTTAAAATGAAAACCATAGATGCGATGCCATTAAGCCAATGTCCTGTACTGTTAGATTGGGCCCATACTGAATTTGGTAATCTCATAAAGACAGACCAGAAGATGGAAATTAGGCGAATTCACTTTAGACCGGGGCCTTACATTCATCCCATGGCTTTAACAAGTGAAATCAGTCTTGGACTGTAAAGAAGTTTGAAAAAGTTATGGAAGTTTTTGGGTGATTCTAAAAAAGAGAATGCTATGAAATTAACATATCATGACAAATATGATAAAGTGATGTATCAGTTTATGGGGAGAGAACTTAAAAAATATCCCTTTTGCATTCGTTTCCCCATAGCCTTAGCTTATAAGCTAGGAATAGAAAGTAAGAAGGTGATTCTTCAGAACCATACAGAAAACATGACCAAATGGATCAACGTTAGTTACATGGGCAACAATACCGTAGATTTATATGAAAATCTGAAATCCATGTACGTGTATTGTGACTTGATTGAACCCCAGACGGTAGGATCAAATGCCTTGAAATTATTAAGAGTGGTTCCTTGTACACTCAATCTGGAAGATAAAAAAACAAGCTAAATAGGAACCCGTTAGAGCGGAATATTTGAAACTGAGTAAAAAACATTTCGATAGCATTGAGATTCATATCATGACTCCTTTAGGGACTCCCATGCCTTTTTTAAATGGAAAATCGGTCGTGAAACTTCATTTCAGAAAAGCGTACTGAGATAAGTGTACATCTTTTTTGTTACATCCTATTGGGAGTGATGGCTTGTCTGATATGCTGTCTGTATTGTATTCAACCTTAAGACAGGGAGGTATAAAAGGAGTCACTTGAGTGCATTTAGGTCAGTCTGACACGAGTCATGAAACATGCGGTATCATCCCGGATTATTGAGACAAAGAGGACACGGACAGTTTGTCTATCATAGAGGTTTATTACGTCAAAAAGGACACGGTGTAGGTGGAATTATCTCTGGATTGGTTGGAGCCCTTACCCCTAATTCTATTGGATTTCCATTACTATCTCTTGTTCCACCCAGTTTGCTTCCACCCTCAACTAGGTTATTAACCCAGCATTTAAAATCTCAAAGAGGAGGAAATTTTATAGACTTCATTTCGGGACTTGTACCGAACTTACCTATAGGGATGACTTTAAAAGAAGTTGTCCAATTAGGCTCAGGCCGGTGACAAAGAGGGTCGAGGATTTCTTAGAGATCTAGTCAAAATGGGTCGTAATCAAGCCTTGATTGCCGGAGCTAAAATAGGAGCGGATATGATTTAAAAAAAGAAATATAAAAAATGCTCTTTTAACTCATGGACTCAATGCCGTTAAAAATACAGGCCTATTTTGCTCTCAATAGAGGAGGAAGTTTAGCCTTTAAAAAGATGAATAAGAAAGGTCAAAAAGGTAAAGGGAGAAGAAAAAGAAGAAGAGGGCAGACAGGTAAAGGCGTTTTGAGAGAATTACTGAAAACGGGAGCTAAACATGCCTTGACTGCTGCTGCTAGAACGGGGTTAGATGTGTTAGAAAATAAGAGATCTTTAAAAGACGCTGTCAAAACTCACGGAGTACAAGCCCTGAAACAAAAAATGAATCTAGGAGGTAGTAAGAAAAGAAGAAAAAAGACACCTGTGTAAGCCCGAGGAGGTCCTAAGAGAAAAAGAAAAAATCAAGGAGGCAATATTCCCAAGAAGAAAAAAAGGGGTTTAGATATCTTTGATTGACACTATAAATAGGGGAGTCGAGTGATATTGACCTTCATTTGTGAAAAATCAATCCTAGTAGACACATCATGTTGCAACCAGATTCCTTTGCGTGTGGGATGAACAATTTAGAATTGTTCCAAGTCCCCCCGAAAAATATTGCTTTAGAAGACTCCAAATGGGAAGAATATTACCCCATTTCCAGTACTTTAGATTCGGATACGGCTCCTATTGAATTTGAAATTAATGGACAAGGAGATCAATATCTGGATTTATCTCAAACGTATGTTCAAATAGTGTGTAAATTTACCAAAGATGATGGTACTAATCTGACTGGAGCTGACAGTACTTGCGCCCCGGTGAATAATATCTTCCATTCCTTGTTTACGGAAATCGATCTCAGTGTCATTGGAAAAATAGTGACTCCTGGAACCGATACTTATCCTTACAAAGCTTATCTGGAGAAATTACTTTCTTACAAACCCAGGACTTTAATGCCACAGATGAGAACTTGTAGTCTGTGGGAAAAAGATACAGCAGGACACATGGACGAAGTGGGGGTAGCAGACCTTGGAGTGGCTCAAAATAAGACATTTCATGTAACCCCAGGTGTAAGTGGTGGTGCTGATACTGTGACCATTAACCAACCTATCATCCCAGAGTTACCGGCCAATTCTAAAAACGAAGGATTTAGAAAACGTCACTAGGCTATAAATGATAGTAAGAAAATAACCTTGTATGATCGTTTACATCTGGATTTATTTCAACAAGACCGATTTCTACAGAATGGAGTAGATGTCCGTTTGAGATTTAATCGAGCTAAACCTCAGTTCTATATGATGATCAAAGCAGGAAGTACGGGAAAAGTCAAAATATTGAACATGATCTTGTGGGTAAGAAAAATCAAACCCACGGCAGTCATGATGAATGGTATTAATCAAGGTTTGAACACTCACAGAGCTAAATATCCATTGAGAAGAGTCGAAGTGAAAACCTTTACCATACCCACAGGAACTCAATCTAAAATCACGGATCATCTGTTTTAAGGCCAGATGCCTAAACGCATCATTTTAGGCTTTGTGGACAATGCGGCATTCAACGGATATATAACTAAAAATCCGTTTCATTTTTAAAACGTGGGAATTAAGAAATTAGATGTCAGTATCAACGGAGAGGACATGAGTACTCGTTGTTTCGAACCTAATTTCAATGAAGACTTATATCTGAGATCCTATCTGAGTTTATATCAAGCACTGGGAAAATTAGGAGAAGATTGGGCCCCGGACATCACCCTAGAAGAGTATAAAAAGGGATACACTTTATGGGGCTGGGATTTCACTAAAGATCAAGAAGCGCAATCGGATAAATTCCACATCATAGAAACCGGAAATCTGAGAGTAGAAGTTCAATTTACTAACAATACGGTGAACGCCTTAAATTGTGTGGTATATGCAGAATTCGATAATCTGTTAGAAATCAATAAACAGAGAGAAGTCAGTATTGATTACTAATGGACACAGGACAGTTAAAAGAAGTCTTATCCAGAGAATTAAAGAGTTCCTTTGGTGAAGTGTATCCTTTAGATTTATTACCGGATCAATTAAGACCTCAAGAAAAAGCCATTGTGGTGAGTACGGATCCTCAAGATAAACCTGGAGAACATTGGGTATGTTTGTATTTGTCCAGTCCATCCATCGAATATTTTGACTCTTATGGATTTCCTCTCTTACAAAAAGAAATTCAAGATTTGATAAATCGTCATGCTAACCGATGGATTTTTAATCCGTACCGATATCAAGATTGGAATACGGATGTATGTGGACAATATTGCGTGTATTATTTACATCAAAGACACAGGAAGAGAAAAACCGCAGATGAGTGGTTATTTCCCTTTGACCATAGTACAGCTTTACACAGAGGTCATTATGTGGCTCAATGGTTTAAAGACACATCATAAAAGACCTACGGGTCATGGACAAACTTGTCAATTTTTCTATCAAAATATATTGCAATTGTTGTTATTGCTGTTATCAATAAAGAAAAAGAAAAAAAAAATCTGATCTTGTTTTTTTTTTAAAGTTGGATGATACTAAATATAGATAGAAAAGGTATAAATACAAGGTGTAAAATGAAAAATATATCAGTTATTGACTTGTCTTAACCATGGGTAACGAAAGTTACCAGTAACGAAAAGAGTAAACGTAAAATTCAATTTGGAAAGAGAGTTCTAAGAGAGGAAGATGTGGATAGAGGTATACCAATTCAAATACATGAGGATGGGACTATTGAGATCATTTCTCATGAAAAATATAATCAATTATGCCAAGAAAAGGGTGTTCTTAATGATGTGAGAGATTACGTTGAAAGACCCTTGACTGCAGAAGAAGAAGAAGAACCCAATGAAGAATATACCCATTTAATACCGAAAAAAGATTACCCTGAAAGACCTCTGACTGCAAAAGAAGCCAAGATGTGTCAAAAACAGTATTTTGAGAACAAGAAAAGATAGACACAGGATTTTAAATCAAAAAAAGAAGAATCATTGTAGAATCTGAATAAATTTTTTTCTAAATATCTTGAGAGGAGTAAAGTGTGTGTCCCCCCCCCCCCGCAAAAAAAAATCATTTTTTCAAACATGAGTCTGACAGAAGGATTAATCATGGAAATCAGAACTCAATTGTTGAAAGACATTAAAACTCATTATGAGAACAAACATAAAGAAGATCCAGGCAATCATTATATTGCCAAATTTAAAAAGGAGAGATTTAGAAGAGCCGCTAATTGGATATTTGATTTAACTGGGTGCCAGCAGGAGGATAAAGATCAAATGATTAGAAGTGATTATCAATACTTGATCTTACAAAAAGAAATGCATCCAGAAACATGAAAACTTCATCATGTGAGAGGATTCATTCAAATGAAACACTGGACCAATGAGAGAGATATGTACAAAATCATTCATGGGTTAACCTGTTTTGACATGTCTCACAGCACACCAGAATTGGAAAGAACATTTTATATGCAAGGTGGCAACTATGAAGAATATGGGACTTTAAAACCTGAAATGAGAAACAGAGAATTAATTCCAAGAGATTGTAGATTTACCTGAATAAAAAATGTTTTATCATTGAGCTTGTGTAGGTTTTTTTTTACCTAGACTGTGAATCACTGCCAAGTATGACGTCATAATATAAGGTTTGTGTTTTGACTGACTCAGCATAACGTAAACAAAACGTACACAGTACTGTTTCAGTAAAAGACGTAGGTAAAACATTTATTTTTTTTTTTGCACACGACTCACCTGTTATTCCCCCTGAGGGTATAAATACAAGGTGTGTGGATGATCATGATCAGTTGACCATAACCATGAGTCAAAGTCAGTTTGGAAAAAAAACCCAGAGACTATGGATATAGATGAGGAGAAAAAAACAGTTATTAGAAAAAAGATTGATCATGCCTATGGAAGAACATTCCAGTTCTCAAAGAAGAATTGACTTGAAAACTCTGGATGAAGAACCCTGTAATGTTTACAAGAAGGATGATGAGATCCATGACCCAAAGGACTCGTACAGAGATTATCCAGTAGCTATTAACTGGATATTTGTCATCCATGATGTGAGAGAAGAAGAAGATATAGACATGTTTATGAGCAGTGAAGATGAATTTCAGTACCTGATCATAGAAAAAGAAATTCATCCCTGGACAGGAGAAGTGCATCAAATCAGGGGATTCATTCAAATGAAAAAACCTGTAGGAGGACTGGATGTGTATAGAGTTCACAGTGAAGCAGATTTTAGTATATCTCACAGTACACCAGACTTAGAAAGAATGTTTTACAGGCAAAGTGACAACTATGAAGAATATGGAATTCTAAAACCTGAGGAGAGAAACAAGGAATTACAGTCCAGAGATGAATTCGGGAAATGGGAAATTGGTGCCTGGAGAGATTTCCTGGAAAGAAAGAGAGAAATGATCAAGGATCTGGAAAATACAAATTAAACTTTTAAGAGTTTGGTTATTGTTGTTATTTTTTTTTTCAGGTTATATAGATAAAAAGGTGTGACATTAAAAGAAAAATATTCACAAACATGAGTTTACATGAGATACCAGGAAATTTATTAAACTTTCCTGTAGAAGCTATTGTACATCAATGTAATTGTTTGACCGTAAAAGCTCATGGATTGAGTCAAAGTATAGCTATGAAGTACCCCAGAGCTAATTTATATGCTACCCGCAGACCTTGAAGGTCAAGAAATTTAGCCCTGAAAGAAGAAAGAGGAATTCCAGGCACCCTTAAAGTGTTTTCTTTACAAAAACCCGTAGTCATTTGTCTGTTAGCTCAATGGGATTATGGAACAGGACATTATAATCGCCTACCTTATTATCAAGATACACCAGAAAATAGAGAAAAAATGGTTTCAAGCTTGTTTACAAGAATTGGGAACTTTACCTTACCAGACTTACATGTATGCCTTTCCTTATAAAATAGGAAGTGGTATAGCAGGAGGAAATTGGACTCATTATAGACAATATATTGAACAATTTGTAAACACTTATCAAAAACAAGTGTGCATTCCTCATAAACATTAAGTGTGTGTTATAAATATTAAGTGTGTTATAAAATAATTTTTTTTAAAAATGTTTTATATTATTTCATTTCAAAATGATTAATGTTTTTAAATTTCAAAAAAAAAAAAAAAAAAAAAAAAAAAAAAAAAAAAAAAAAAAAAAAAAAAACCAGTGACCTGGTGTTTATACGTTTCTCTAACCTTGATGTTTTATAGGTATCTTTTCGAATCTTTGGAGTGGCCCTTAAAAGGACCGTTGGTTGATTTTTTATCAAGGGTATTCCCTGAGAGGCCTGCCTCTATCTCTGCCTATGCCGCGGAACTCTGTTCTGCCTGAGAGGGGAGGTCGCTGGTTACCTGTCAACGGCTCCAGAAAGTCCGGCCTTCTGGGTGGGGATGGAGTTGCGTGTCTTGGAGGAGATCGTCTCAATCCTCGCCCGCGAGGTGCTTGCCATCTTGAACGCCTGCGTCTGCAAAGAGGGCAGCATTGGTTTATTTGTACCAGCACAGCTGAACACTCAAAACAAGCAGGTGACCGACGGCACTGGCAACAAGTATAATTCGACATCCGATCCTCCTCCAAGCAAACTGCACAGGTATCCAGCCTGGCTTCCGCTACTTGGATCCCCCATCTAGATATTAAGTCCCTGGTACTCACACCTGGTGACATCTCCGGGCTCGGTGGTGGTGGTCTTGCCGACTCCAAGGGGGGGGGGGTGGATTCCCTGGGTGGTGCCCAGTCATCGTTGACGGGAGGGGACCAATCCGAATCAACGGATGAGGAATCCCCCTGTCCAGCCCAGTCGTTGTTAACGGGAGGGGTCCAACCCGAATCTACGGAGGAATCCCACTGTCCAGCAGCTGCTCCCGGGGGATGACTGGGTGACCAGGTCGGCGTAGGTGGTCTTCTTGGAGGGGACGGGCTTCTCGGGGTGTCCTCGAGTAGTTCCGGACTACTCAGAGGGGCCGAATACCTGGTGATTCTGTCCTCCTCCTTTTCTGACCATATTCCTCTTCATTAGTAGAAGGCTTACGTCGTCGTCGTCGCTGTCGTCTTCTTTGTCTGCTCATCCCCCTCATCAGGTCGCTGGCTAGGCCTAAGGTGGCAATCGGCCATCTAGCCAGCTCCCTCCCCGTCTCTACACTACTGGACGAAAAAAGTGCTGAGAATCCCAAATTTTACTGATAATGTTTGATAATTACTGATACTGTGCTGTTCTTGCTGATAAATACTGATATTTACTGTTATTGTTGCTGTTGTTACTGATAATTTCTGTTGTTTCTGATAAATACTGATAATTACTGTCGTCTTTACTGTTGAGTCTGATAAATACTGATAAATACTGTTGAGGTACTGTCGCTGCTGAGAATTACTGATAATTACTGCTGTCATTGTTCTTGAGCGTAAAACGTGTTTTAATTTTTTCAATGAAATATTTTTTTTTAATTTAAACAATTCATAAGGTCAAGATATTTAGTGATTTTAGTCTCAAATAGCTGATAAAAAATATATACATGTATATATATATCTAAATCACCACAATACAATCTTTTTGTTTACAAGTCAATGAGAAAAAAAAATCATGATTTTTTTTTCTGGTCATAGATTGTAAACTCTTAAAGTCCATGTAAATATTTGAGGAATCGCTGTGCGTGAAAACAATCGAGTTTTTAGTTAAGAAGTAATAAAACTTCGGTATGACAGCCACATGTATGGGGCTAGAGAGCTGTCCCATAACTTTCTTTCAGAAGCATTTTCTTGCATGTTTAAAAAATAGTAATGATTCTGGTCAAGATGTCTAATCTTGTCGCACTACACGTCATTTTAATCTACATGATTGCCATTAAAAAGAACTTTCAAGCCTTTAAAGTTAAAGAGTATGTTTAATTCAATCTGTAGTTTCATTTCACATTTCGTATTGCAAGATAACAGGGCTGCGTAATGTTAATAAAAGAAATGAGATGATTCTGCTCCACGACCGAATTGAGACCCCCACTCCCCCCCCCTCCCGCACACATTCAAAGTGGCATGTAAACACCAGTCTGCAGATTGTCTGTGATTTTTTTTTTGTTTTGTTCATAATTAAATACTCTCAAATTTCGTGACCTGTTTTAATGTGACATTTTTTTTTAAATTTAACTGTACATAGTACTATAAATTCAATTAAATTAAAAGTGTCGGGGAAACGTACCCTTGCAGTTGTAAGTTCGTCCTGTGACTTGGTTGAATTCCTTATTAATAAAAATATGTGTTTTCTTTCTCTGATCATTAATCAACCGTGTCCAAAAAAAAAAAAATAAAAAAAAAATCTTGAGAATGTGACCCGGTTTTTGCCGTGTTTGACAAAACAGACTCTCCGGTAATATCTGCGAATTATTGTTCTACGCATCACATAAATCGATACCTGTGACCTTCGGCTGGAATGTAATTTTTTTGTAAGAATGAAGATATTTGGATGGATGTAATTTAAACTCTTTTAGCCCTTAATGGAGTTATTTGCATTAAGAAGAAAAAGGTCGGCGTTCCAATGGGCAAACTCCCCATGGTCCACGTGCACTTGTCGGTGTTTGTGACAACTAACCTAGCGAAACTTCGACTATCTATAAAGGTTTGTGTTTATAATTATTTTTCATAACACTGAATACACATTATGAATTGAAGAATTATGCCGTTATACAATGCGTTTTACCACATCAAAATTACTGACTGATTATAACTCTATGTGTCACCTATAGATCTGTTCATGCAACTGAGATAATTCGAACTATACTGTCAGGCTGCACAAGTTTATGTCCAGAAATATTTTGATAATGAACGATGGATTCCTGTTACCATGAATATATATCATACCATTGAAATTCTGAGAATATTAGGTATTTTATTATTTTATTTCTACAAAACAATGGGTCCAATTCTACATTTTAGCTAGTATAATCAGATAATACTTTAAGTCAATGGATGAAACAAATACAAGACTTAATAGTCTTTAGGCATATGTATGAATCATGTCTTTAATCAGTTTATTCAGTCACTTTCTTGGTATTCATGCACATCTGAGAATTTCAGTCTTTCTTCCCTTTCTTCACATAAGTGGACAGGGGTACATCACTGTCATCAGAGCTGTCATCATCAGATGGAGTAGTGATGATGGGAGTTGTATGATCTGCTCCTCTATTGTCAGCTCCACTAAAACAAAGAATAAATTTTTTACTCTTGGTACACATTCAAAAATGTTTCATTTTTCAATATGAAACAGAAAGTACATGTATCCCTATTCTGAGGAATTAGTTCATCATGTTTGAAATGATACATCATATACTAAATATATATATATTTATATCATATATCAAGAAGATTTACCTTAGAGATCAGTTAAAACAGAAATGATTTTATTCTGTTTGCAATAATTTTATATCAATTTTATTATTAAGTTAAGCATGCCTGCCTGAATTTTGAAACTGCATTCATGAATGAAATAATTTAATTATCCTAACTTGACATACTCTCTTCATAATACTAGACAATGTTGACAATGAGATTCCTGCCACATACAGAACGGATACACTTCTTAGCTTTAATTATACTCGGTGTGTACGATCGATATACATGTGTAATTGAAATAATTAAATTCTTACATGTCATCTTCATTTGTCAGGAGGGCTGCAGTTTCCTGTGTGCTTGCTTTTCGCCTTCTCGACTCGCACAAAAACTTGTAAACAGATTTTTGTCCACCATTTTCAGCTGGAGATCTGGAATAGAAATAATTAGAAATGAAGTTTGATTGAAACGTTTTTATTATTTTTTTCTTTTTGTCAATTCTAATCAGCATGATGAGGTTCTATTTAGTGTTAATCCAATGTTTACAAAAATTGATAATGAATTCATGCAAAATTTCAACTTTTTATGAAAGGTGTTATCAAAAAAAAAAAAAATAAAAAAAATAAAAAAAATAAAAATAAATAAATAAATAAATAAAAAAAACAAATATGAGTGTATGGTATGTATCGGTATGGCATATGAACACAAAAGAATGCATTGACTTATAGAATCTGCACTTTTTCTTTACTACATTTATCATATTGCTTACTTTCAAACTGATTACATATGCACATGTTCAGAATATTCCTCTCAGCTAATTAATCAGCAAGTCAATTTTTATTTAGACTTGAATTCAGCTTAATACTTTGAAATTATTTCAATATAAGCTGATAAGATAAACAAACTAACCCCTAAAATTCTTGTTCATGAATACATAAAATAAATAATTATAACGAAATTAACTTCTTAAAAGCAACATAATCACTACAAGCATTATAAAGTTATCAGATAAATTGTGGGATGAAAAATTATGTGAACTTAATTAAGTAACTTTATTTATTTTGATTTTTTAATTATATATATTTCTGTAACTTTATTTATTTCATTTTTATATATATATATTTCTGTAAACTTATGAATTTCAAAGTGTTTGTATTTGGAATCTTTTGATAGATTTCATCAATTTACAGTCAGAGTTGTTTGATATACATTTGGTCAGATGCACAGGGAATCCTTTGTATATTCTATGTGAATTGAAGTGGTCAGTGAAACAATAGGTGCCAATTACCTATTGTTCTCTGTCTGCTACTGACCACTAACTGTTAGGCCTGAATATACAAGCTTACTCTTCAGGTCAACAAAACTTGATGATCACATTTGTAAAATTGTTAATTTCATAGAAATTTATATATATTATTCATCATGAAAATGCAATTTAAAAATGAATTTTCAAATTAAATTGAGTACAAAAGATATAAACCACCTACTTAAGCTTTAATTTGACTTACAGATTAAAATCTGTTATAGATAGAAATCAATGAAATATACTATTTGTATTCTAAACCTATAAAAACATTTTAAGAGTTTAAATACATGTACAACTATATTATAAATAAAATACAATCTTTCCAGTACACTCTATACTAACACTAAATAGTCATGATAGTGCTTGACATATACATTAATTTTCTTGCACAATTTACTCGATGAAAATGTCAGATTTACATGATTAAAAAAAATGAACATAAATTTTATTTAAGAATTAACATGTGAATAGTATCATCATATGACCATGCAGTTGAAGAATATATTAATTAATTCATGCTGATAACAGTGACTTATACAAGTAAATTTTCTCTTTTCTGGTCATCATGGTCATGTCAGCCAGTTGATAATAAGTATGTAAATATAGTACATGTACTTACTTCTTTTTTTCATAAAACCTTGTCCAGTAGATGGTTCTTCTCATTCTGTGCTGAATCTTATGTCTGTTACTTTGGGTCTGGAGCAGACCGGGTGCGAAGGAAGTCAAGATTTCTGTGGTCGCAGTTTCCCAGTTGGCATCCTTTTTCCCGTCTAATTTGTACTTTTCAACAACATGATGAACAGATTTCTAAAAGAAATGAAAGAGTGTGATTTTTTTTTCTCCCACAAAAAAAAAAAAAAAAAAACAGTTACTCCTATTCCTAAACATCAGTATATAGCTTAAATAACTAATATCAATTTTTTCAAGGATTTTCTGTTTACTTACAATGTAGACTATATACTTTAATGACCCTCTCTATACTAAATGAAAATGTTTTTGGACATTGAGAAAATTATATTGTATAAATTAAGGTTTAAAGATGGAGCTTATTTATATCATTTTCAACATAGGGTGCCTGGCTTTTACCCCAAGGAAAAATGTTCAAAGTCAACAAAGTTTTGATGAACAGAAATCACTGTTGTTTACCTAAGTGGGGAAAAAGCATACAGATGAAGTTTTCATTTAATTTATCTTGGTCTATCAAAATGTCAAGAATGCTTGAATTGATTAGACATTGATTGATAAACTGTAAATTTAAATTTATTTTATTTTAAATCTAGGGGCAGATTACTCTAACTACATAAAAATACCAAAGAAACAGAACTCTTTAGTGTACAATGTATAGAGGGTTCTTTAACAAATCAACTAATGCACAAAATAGGAGAATTGTTTTTCTTTATTTTAATAATAGCTCCTTGGTAAATAGCTTGTATTCTTTTAAATTCTGGACCTAACTATATAGATCAATTTTAAGTCAAATTTCTGAAAACAAGCTGTAAGCTGGAGTGAATTTATATTATACTTATTTATTTATTTATTTATTTATTTTGAAGGAAATTTCATATTTTTATATATATTTCAATTTTTTTTCAACATATTAGATACATAAAAATTATGAACGTAAAATCTGAGGGAATTAAATTACTTTCCACATTTTAACACATTAAGACACTGTTTATATTAGTATCCTAATTATCTGCCCCATATGATTTCTTACAAACATGCACTTTATATGCAAGTAAACTAGATTGCGCACTAACATGTATATATATCAGGTTCTTTTTATTTTGTATAAGTTTTAATCAGAATATTTATTAAAATCACTTTTGAAAATTGACAAGTTCTGCAAATTAAACATAATATAAATGGAATATTATTGGGTGCATGAAAAAGAAAAATTAAGATAAGAAACATGCAGCACTGGATCAATCTAAAAACAATGATGACATTAAAAAAAAGAAAAAAATTGAGCACTTCAGACTATAAATATAGGAATACATATGTGCCATAAATCTAGTAAATATAATATTCTGACTTTTGTAAAATTGTTTATCAGCTAGCCTGGTAGCTAGATCATCTCTAAATGTTATTGGTATAAAAAGAAACTGTTTCATTACAATATACATTTATATAATAATAATTTAAATACCTGCATAATGGAGTGTTCATATGTACCACGTTTCCAAAAAAGCTCAGAACTGAGTCCTTGGGGCACAGCAAGTTCGGTCTGAGTTCCAATGGATGTTTTGGAAGTATTACATGAACAAGGGTTACCAACATGCAACCGTGCACAGCAAACACAATTAAAGTCACAAGACTTTGACACACTTTGAGGCACGTAAGATGCACTTTGCTGCAAAGGTGCAAGTGGGCAGTAGCTGTAGTCCACATTGTTAAAGGAAAGATGTTGATAAGAATTCATGATGATAGGATTTGACACAAAACCACAATACTGTTAACACTTTAACTGTCAAACAGAACCATGACCAAATATTCTTAGTAAGACAATATTTCTTCAAAAAGCAGTAATAAAAATTGATTATGTTCTCCTAATTAAAAAAAAATATACATTGGAAAGTGAGATGTTAATTGCTTTTATAATTATACCCAGGGAAAGAAGACTTCTAGTTATCTCTTTGATGTTCACATGCATGTATAGCTATATATGCTGACCTGGTGTAATTCACAGTAATTGCAGTGAAATTTTAACAATCAGTAGTTTACTGATCTCCTTTAATCTTAATCATATGTCCAAGGAAAAATTAAAGTGTTATGTTCCTATATATTTTAAGACTTTACAAGGTTTAGATGAAACAATGTTACTTGTTTTTGCATATATATGCACATGTTTCCTCATGAGTAAGTTAACAGGAAAAATAATTCAAAACATACATAAGATGCTATTTTCATTTTAATCAAATTTCATTGATATTTATCCTTCCTCCTGAAGTCATATTTATAGGTATACAACCAGAATTTATCTGTCCAATATTTCATCCTTTGATTAAAATTTTGATTGACTAGTTCATTACATGATTCATATACCTATAGTTTAATTGGCATTAACACATAACATTGTGAAATGTGGCCTTTTGATTTTTATAATACCTACGAAATATATGTTTCTAAAAACAGGTAAAATTCCATATGAAATTTTTAAAAGATTTTTTCCCCCAATTTATCTATTCATTATGAAAAATAATGAAATTAAATGTATAAAGTGAATTAAAAGGGCAGAGATTGTTATGAGGAGTTTTCTATGAATAACAGAATTTAATAAATATATATAGTTTCTGATATAAGACTAATAGATTTAATAGAATTATACTTTAGGATTAATTTGATTTCATTGTTTGCAGGAATAAATTTAATAATTGCAAAATTTCTTAATGGATACTCCTTTGTAATTGGATAATTGGTCAGCCAATTAACTTGCAGCCACGCCTTCCCAAACTCATAACTCATGGGGGTACTGGTGTCTCTTTTCTGTGTACAGTATTTCTTGAATACAGCACTAAATGTTCACAAGTAGATGTTATGGCTTTTTTTGTATATTTGCAATTCTATTGTCCACTATGCATTTTGAAAACAATAATGGTAATAACTTTCAACATTTCAACACATAAAATAAATAGAAAATGAAATAAATGTAGGATGACTATTTGAAGAATAGATATATGCTCCAGGTCAATGCTAGTAATTAATAAAAATGTATATGATATAATAAATCAATGTTTGATGGTCTAGCTGAGTCTAGCTGTCGCAGTCTGAATAAAATACTTCTTGGAATCAATCTGATCATCAATTACTAATAAACTTATAAACTTGACATTAATATACTTAAAAACTTATAAACATGATTATTGATAATCAGATTTCTTTGTTTGATTTAAGGCATTGGTTATTACTGCAAATGTGGAGTCTGCAATGGAAAATGGATACCCAGGAGCACATTTCACAGAGATGCAGAAGAAGAATTCAACAGAAGAGCAACTTCAGTTCCTCTCATTCCAAAATACCAGTTTGAAGAGGATGCATACAATGACCCAAAGCTCTGTGCTCCTCTTTTCAATGGTGCAAAGACTACCTTGTTGGATGCTATCACAAGCCATTTGTATGTTTTTTCTGTGAATCATGGGATGTCTAAAGGAGCCCTTACAGATGTTTTAAAGAGCGAGAAAGGAAGTCTTCCACAACCAAATATTTTGCCAACTTCCTTTAAAGAGGCCAAGGACCTCATTCGTCATCTTCTAATTCCACTTCAGAAGTACGATGTATGTGTAAATGACTGTGTTCTGTACAGGGACAGTGACAAAAACAAGTATTCAGATCTGGAATCATGTCCAAAATGTGGTGAACCAGGAATGTTGAATGGGAAACCCCGCAGGACATTCACGTATATGCCTCTAGGTCCTAGACTAGCTCGATGGTTTGGTACTGCAAATCTTTGCTAACTTCTACATTCAGAGTGGATTAATGTGCAAGGTAAACTTCGTGATTTCACAGGCGGAGCTCTCTACAAGTCATGGTTTCAGCAAGGAGGTGTATTTGAAGCCAAAGACAAACCATTATGTGTACCACTCTCCTTATTTACAGATGGTGTAAACCCAAATAAACATATGTCAAGCCAGAAGTCAATGTGGCCATTGATACTGACATGGATTAACCTACCCAGAAATATTCGACAAGTTCTTGGACCAATGCTATTGATGGGCATTATTCCCAGTGGACCAGATGGTTCTGAGCCTAAGAGTCTTGAGCCCTACTTGGAGGTTCTTATTGAGGAACTTTTGGAGTTGACGGAATTTCCCGTTCTAAATGCCTACACAGGAGCACCAGTGACTGTTAAAGTTGCATTGTAACAGTTTCTTTGTGACATTCCTGCTTATGCTAAACTATTGCATCTCTCTGGACAGGCTGCATTAAGATCATGCCCTTACTGTGAAGAGGTTGGCCGTTATTGTCATTCCTTGAAAAAAACTGTGCATATTTCTAATAGAAGTTTTCTTCCATCTGGTGACAAGTTAAGAGATGCTCCAGGATTTGCCTTACAAGAGAGAGACAATAACATACCAAGAACTATAGCACAGGAGCGGGAGAAAAACCTGAGAAGAAAATATGACAGCCTACCAAATAAAAGCCAAAAAACAGAAACACTAGAAAGAGACGGGGATGAAGGGAACATATGCACTGATGAAACTGCCATACCATGACCGTCTTCAGCAGATGCAGCCAGATGGTATGCACACCATTGCCGACTTCATCTCCCATATACTGGACATGCTAACTGGAAATCATGATGGACTTAATGTTCGTAACTGCGAAAAGAAATTCCAGAGGTTTCCAGACATTTGGGTGACAGAAGATGCAGTTGCAGCACCTGTGTGCATTAGAAAAGGACGGAAAAAAAGCAAACCCAACAAGGAAAATGAGAGTCCAGAGGACAGTCTTACTCCTACCCCATGGTCTCTGTCCAAAGAGCAACTAAAGCTTGCTGATGCCAGAGCAGCATCTGTAACTTACAGTTCCGGCTATGACATCTCACCCGGACCCCACTTTTCAAAGCCTTGGACTTTACGTAACATGAATTCAAAAATACAGGTATGTTTTCTGTTATAAAAGTAATTAATCCTTTAAAAAAACAAAACAAAACAAAAAACCTTCATTAAATTGTAATGAATTGAATTCTAGTACATATAAATGTACCAAAAGTCTTAGACAAAGTGCTTGTAATTTACAAAATAATAAGATATGCTATCAGCAAGAAATGATATTCTGTTTAGGACTGAGTATAGAATGATTGTAAAATTTGTCACAGGTTAATATTTTTCTTAAATCTTAAGATGTTTTGAGATTTCCAGCAGAATATGTTTGAATTGATTCATGGGTTTTTGTTACAGTTTGTTACCAGTGGGGCCTTTGCCTGGTGCATAAGAGGGTTTTTGCCTAACCAGCAAGAGGAAACTCTGTTCATCATGTTGAACCTCATCAAGAGAATGGTCTCACCACAGCTGACCGAAGATGACATTCCTTCTCTGCAGGAAGATGTTCACACTGGACTGGCTATGTTTGAGCGTGATTTTCCTCTCTCCATGCAGGTAATAAATTCACTTTTCCCAGAAACTTTTTTACAAACATTTTATATATTTAATTTGTTAAACGGATATCCATTTTTGTTTTGTACCCAAGGTTTAGTTACAGAATAGAATGTATGTTTTATACCTGTGATGTGCTTATGAGTAAAAATGTACAAATAAATAAAAGTTCAGTTATGTAATTTTCTTTAAAAAATTAAATCAATGATAAAATTTGTAACAAATAAATACCTACTAGTAATATTATAACTATGGTTCATTTAACAGTTTTAGTATAATTGTATTTATTATGCAAAATTTGTTTACATGAATTAAAAGATTTCTTTTTACCACAGAACCTAGTCACACACTTGCTCCATCATATTGTGGATGGATTTGCTACCTTTGGCCCTTTGTATGGAAGATGGCTCTTCCCCTACGAAAGAGCCAATGGGTGGATTACAAGGCAGTGCCTGAAGAAGGGTGCAGAAGATACCACTGTTATGGAGACTTATGCTTTAAGTACTAAGACAAGTTTCAGAATTTTTCATCTTAGTAATTTATTGAAAGATATTCTAATTTTCATATTTAAAGCATGATATTTGGGAAAATCCTCACTTTTTGGGAGGAGGCATCTACTTTCACAAAGTTGATAATGATTTGCATGATATTCATAGATAGAAAATAAAATGCACTGACATTTCTATATTAAAATTTAAATAAAAAGAAATTTAAAAAAAAATGTACAAAATTAACAGGATTATATTATTGTGTTTTAGGTTTACGAGTGGTGTATATATATATGGTTATGAGTGGAGGATTCAAGCCAGCTAAACATGATGATCAGATATGGGACCCATGCAGTGAGGAAATCACCTATCACTTCGATGTGGTCCATGGCAAAGAAATCACACTCACAGAAGGAATGCGGTGTCGTATGAAGGACTTCTACCAAACAGCATTCAAACTAAAAATACTGTACTTTAGTGACACTGCGAGTGAAATGAAAACATACATTTCTAAAGAACGAAAACTGATTTCCAAAGACTTTGGTTCCAAGAAGAACTGTTCCATCGTAAAAGTGTTCAATGGAGTGGACCATCTAGACAATCAATTCGGTGAAGTCAATAGTTTGCTTGAACACAATGTAAATTGTACTTTACAGACTTGGGCCATTATTGATGTATTTCCATTGGCAGAAAGAGACGGTGGTGTGTGCATCTTTGAGAAGAAGGCCCTTTACCAAAGGATGGTACATGTTGACTTGATTAGTGACCTAGTGGTATTTGTGAAATAGGACAATTTCATTCATGTTTTGATGTAAATAAGATTTCATGATGAAATTTGTACTTATTTGTTTAC